TCATTCAGTTTCCGCTAAGGTCAATTTACAAATACCTTTAACGCTCCTTTTTAATTCATTCGAAGGCTATAACAGCATCTTATCATTTATTGATTGTTTGCTCCTATCTTATATCTCGAGTGATCAGGATATCCAGGACTCTTTGAAAAACCATCTTCCTCATGTGCAGCTGTTGGGTCGGCGTGTCAGGCTGAATCAGCATTCAGGCATCTTCATCACCCTAAACCCGGCTGGGAAGGGTTACGGTGGACGCCAGCGCCTTCCAGATAACCTGAAGCAGTTGTTTCGGCCAGTAGCAATGACACGACCTGACGACCAATTAATCGCTGAGACAGTGCTCTTCTCCGAGGGCTTTCGACATGGCCGAGAATTGGTCGGAAAACTGGTCTCCTTTTTTCGCCTTGCCAGGTGGGTAGACAATGCTTAGACTATGCAGCATGCAGGGGCGTAAACAATCAGCGCTCTTCGCCTTTCCCTCGTATGCTCTTCCGATGGCGTTAAATATGAACGCCAAAATATTACCTATTGGAAGGCGTACGTTGTTGGGACGAAATGAGGCTTTAGGAAGGGTTTTTCGTTTATGGGTAGGTTTTCGAGACTACCAGTAGATCATATGTACGAAATGTATTCATCATATTTCGTTTAAAATCCGAGTCCTGTTGAGGGTGTGGTTGAGTCCTGGGCGAGGTCGAAACTGCAGTCCATGCTGGATGAGAATACATTTTGGGAAAGCAAAGCTATGTGAACTTCAATGGAAACGTAAGGTCTACTCATATGATTATGGGAAAATTCAACCACCAGTCCTCTTATCAACTTAAACGAACCAAGGTGAATTTATCTTAACGAAGGGTTGTTTGCAAATTTTGTTTGGAAGCCAAAGTCGAGAAAAGGAGGATGAACTTGTATAAATGTATAAAAACTGGGTTTCGAAGAATCCATAGATGTTGAAATACTTTTCATTTCGTTTGAAGAGGCAAGTTAAATGGATTCGTAAGTTGGTTCCACCGAAGGCTGTTGGGGTGTTGCCTTGGAGCTGTGGTTGTAGATTTGTACGAATAAGTCCTCGGCGCACCGCCCAAGATCACAAGGCAGTGTGGAGTAGTGGCTAATGTGTCGAGGTTATACGCCGCACTATCACTATGGCACACCTAAAAAATCTACGAAATAACCTGGAGCTTGTCTACGAAAATATTTTCATAGTGCTTATTTTGTTCTACATTTCCTATCATTTACGTAACATGCCATCAGAAATCAGATACTTACATGGAATTATGTAATAATATTATAAGAAATGCACTTGTAATGGATAAGGTACAGTAGTTTAATTTTCCCACATCGGTATAGCAGAACTCACTTTTCATTGAATTTCACATAGACTTGCTTCCCAAAAGGCATTCTTATCCTAGACTTCCCTGAAATTAACTACTGCTTTGTGACAAAAGGTCACAAGGCAGTGTGGAGTAGTGGCTAATGTGTCAAGGTTATACGCCGCACTATCACAACCCGGGTTATAGTCCAGCTGGGGGGTGCTGATGAGACCATTCCAGAGGGGGTCGAAACTACAGTCCAGTCTGAATGAGAATACCTTTTGGGAAAGCAAGACTATGCTGATTTAAAAGAAAGCATGAGGTCTACACATATCATTCTGGAAACTTTCAATTACTAGACCTACAAAACACAAACGAATTAGGTTGAATACAGCTCTTATATAGGATCTACTAGTAGTCTCAAAAACCGACTTATTCTATGGAAAATCATTTTAACTAGTATTTCTCTATTTATGTCTTCCTCAATATTATCAGCAATTGAGTCAGAAAAAATGATGTCTACCGTTTAGACTGTGATAACAACGTTTCACTGGATGTTGCATCAAGTCCTTATCAACTGAGGAGAGTTAGGAGCTGCAGATATTTGTCGGACTATATATGGTATTCTCATCTTAAAGTTCATGCAACAAGGTGGTCGTAAAGCAGAGTTGAGTGGGCTCGTTTGTAAATCGAACCCTCTGATCTAGGTATTTTTGCTTGCCTTGCCTCGTCCTGCAAACATCATACTTTCTTAAAAGTTGCCAGTGTTGCGGATAATTATAGTGATTCTAATCTAAATTAATCACACGGAAGGCTTGATTTCCTCATTGGCTCTTATTTGACTACTTGTCCTAAAAGTCCTTTCTCCTCTATGCCTCATCTGTCTTATCAGCAACTCCAGCGGGCTTCAAACTGCGGATTCAGAGTAAATGTATTGACGCCTTAGTTACTCAAACTTGGCCCCCATAATTTGTAACCGCCTAAAATCACAACTTTAGTGGGACAATTTGTATCAGTGAAGTTTTTTTGTTAGGTTTTCGTGAGTGAGTAGGTTTTCTTATTACTTCAACTCATATATGTTTTTTGTTATTGTTTTCGTCAGAGCTAGCAAAGTTCTAGAAATAATTTAAATGTAGCGGTTTTAAAAATTCAATGGGGAGTACCGCCAATTTTACCTGAGGATCTGAGTTCTATTGATCCTAGAAAGTCTTCTTTTTGGGCTTTAATGAGGAAAGCTATATTCTGTTCAAACATTTGGGCTCCGAGTAATACAAATTTAGAATCATTACGTCATAATTAAAAGAGATATCTTATATATAATTTCTCGACAGGTAGAGTTTTTCTCCCTATGTTTTCTTTAATTATTTATTTTTATTCAAATCCTCCTTTACTTATGGCCCTATTAACCTGGCAAATATGAAAATTGGGAAATGGTGGATGAAATGAGGGCCAAGTCACCCTCAAGTCTGAGAAAATCGTCCAAATGGTCTTCATTTTGAGCGTCTGCTCTTTTGGTTGGAATGGTTATGCATACAGTCAGTTGCTGTCTTTCTTTCCTCACCCTCTCTGCCTCACAGACATATGTTTTCTGTCCAGCATCACTACGACTGGGGTCTGCGTGCTCTTAAGGCTGTACTCCAAACGGCCGGCGACCTCCTGGCCAACCGGCGTCAAGCGGATTCAGCTGTTCAGAATAAAGACTCTGTGACCACCAGCTTACACTCAGAGGGCTGCCTTCTCATCGAGGCCATCCGCCACAATACGCTGGCTAAACTCACACCCTCTGATGTAGCTCGCTTCTTTGGTCTGCTCCAAGCTCTCTTTCCTGAGCATCACGAGGCTGTACTGGGCGCCGGACTAGGCGAAGCCGAACAATTGCGCCAAGCTATTTTGGACTTTCTGGAGGAGGAGAACCTAATGCCTGAAGAAAATCAGGTGCGTCTGCCTAAGGAAGCTTAAGACTTATTTTTGTCTTGGACTGGATCCACATGCGTTTTGAAAAATAAGTTAGTTGGTAGGGCGCTTGAGCGCGAATTAAAGGCGACATTTAGACCAACAGCTCCATGTTATCCATAAAACTATAAAAGACGCCGGTTGAAAGGGTTATTGACACGGAATATTTTGTTTTATCTATGTGTTATT